CAAAATTATTATTCTTTAATTTTAATAAATTAATATAAAAATATGATTAATTATATAAAAAAAAAATTCAATTCATGAATCATCCAATAACCTAAATAAACCCAAGTTGAACACGACGCAATCCATCCGTTTGCCACCTCTACCTCTGAATTTTCCCCTTGACTTGCCCAGCCTACCATTTTAAGGTCTTGGTAGTTTTTTTTGGTTTCTCGTCCAGTATCCGAGACTTCGTCCCGACTAATCCGGATCGACCCGCGTCGCGTACTTGAAAATAGTGGGTGAGTCTCCCAACGAAAGCTGCTGCGTTTACAAGGATTCAAACTCAAGATCTTGTTTAAGCTGAAATAAGTCGCTTACCACTTGATCCAATCTTTCGTTGGTAAGGTATTAGTAGTTGGTACGCTGCTCTCTAGAAAAGGAATTTTGGAATTCGTACCAAAAAAAATAAAAAATAAAAAAGGGACACTTGACTTTAGGAAAAATTTTTTTTTCTAACATTGCAAACTCAATTGTAATTGATTATATTAAAATATAATTGTGGCAGATTATTTAAAAGAGTGAAAACAAAACTATAGACAGAATTGAAATGTATTAAAATTTGAAATGCATGTCAACCGAGTTTACTGTCTTTAATAATAAGATTTTTCTTGATGATAATTATGCATATTCATTCATAATTGTGTTGCATTTATTATGCATCTTGTTGAAAATATCCTCTAAAATTTCTCCTTAACTTGCCTACCCTTTTAAGGTCTGGATATGCGGCTTTCTAGAAAAAAAAAACATTTGTAAATAGTAAAAAACAAAAAAAAAAAAAAAAGAAAAGAAAAGAAAGAGGAAACTTGACTTTAGGAAATTTTTTTTTTTTAACCTGCAAATCCAAATATAGTTAATTATATTAGACTATAATTGTGGTGAACGATTCAAACGAGTAGAAACAAAAATATAGACAGAATTGAAATGTATTAAAATTTTAAATGCATGCAAACCTAGTTTATTGGTTTTAATGATAGGACACCTCTTGATGATGATTGTGCATACTTATTTATAATTGTGTGGCATTTGTTATGCGGTGGAAATATTCCTTTTTTTCTTTCTATTGACCTATCCACTACGTTAAGGTTTTTCCTTTCTCTTTTTTTTTTTTTTTTTTTT